AAGGGCGCCTAGAAAAGACTAAAATTGCAAGGAAAAGTCAAGATCCTTGGAGAATCTCATGACGTGTTACTAGCGTCACGTGACTTCCGCTGTCGTAACAATATGTTGTTTTCTTTTCCTCAATGAAAAAACAAAACTTTTACAACTTTAAGTGACGATATATATATATACTGTATATATGCGATCACAAAAGGTAGTAAAATTTAATATATATATCAATTCTTGTAAAATGTAAGTGAAAGGGTGTTAGAGGTATAAACAAAATGCGAATATTTTGAAATAAGGTGAACAATGATCTTTGAAATCGATAAATATAAGGTAAAGAAGCACGTGAACTAACCAGCCAAACATTCATTGTTCAAACAGAATAGCGCCAGTTCACTGCACTTGTAAGAGCCACGTGATTACCCTAGCAAATAGTAATAACCGGAGCGAGGTCACGGTGTGGCTTAAGAGTGCGAAACGCTAGTAGAGCGACCTCAAAGGCTTTCATGGCCTTGTTTCAAGTTTTTGAAAAATCACACGTTATTGTTAACCGAACAAATTATGTAAACACGTGAGCATTTTCAGCAAACATCTTTATGTCTATATATTACAAATATATACATTATCCTCATTTCTGACACAAATGGTAATGGTTCCGTGTTAGCTAGTATTAACGTCACGTACACAGAGGTGGGGTGGGATGGGGTGAGGCGTGGGGGAGATGAAACTGAAACTAAGATTTTTTCCCGTTAAAACTGAAGTTGTTATTCAGCTTGATAACTGTTGTTGAGCTTGTTAATTAACCTGTTAAACATTCCTGCGTATTTTCTATTTAATACTTAGAACTGTGATACGTAATGATACTGCGCCATTTTATAAATTGTGAGTACAATTTATTCTTCTCCGTTATATCTACATATCGGTTCTTTTACGAAAGTTTCAAATTAACTTTGTTTGGGTTGGATTTTGTTAAATAGAAGGGAAATACTTTATTATCTCACAACCATTGGTTGTAAAGTTTGCTTTTTTTAGGCTCAAAGTTGCACAATAAATAATCTACACTGTGCTCACTTTAGGGATCGAATCCAGAGTTTTTGACGCTATAAGATCCCAATCTTATAACACTAAGAGCCAGTTGTGAAGGTTAGCAGATTTTCAATTCTTACATTTCAGGGAAAGCAGCAGAAATCTATCAGGGGGGGTGGGGGTGGGTGCTACTTTTGAAATGAAAAGGAAATGGCCGAACAAGTCATACTGGGAAGAGGGATGGTGTACATGAACATAGACCCTCGCAAAATAGTGTAATATAAGTGCAAGTTAAGGAATATGAGTGCACCCCCTCTGCTTACGACATGTTGGCTATAATACATTTTAAAATTAACGCATTATAAATATATTAAGCAATTCAAAATTTCAATAATGAATGATGCTAAACTAAAACATTAATTTATATATACCATTTAATAGCATGATAAAGATAATCAAGCACTAAACGATAAACATTCACTGAAATAAAAACGTGTAATATCAAACAGTTGTTTACAAATACTTTTTTTTTTGTTTGGTTAAGGTGAATTGTTAGCTCACCGAAACGTCAGAATAAAAGTTGCGTGTATTGTCGGATTATCTCCATTGTTTGAAAGTAAAATTGGTTTATAGACTTACTAACCTCGAACGTCTGCGAGAAGTGTTTGTGTTAATGACTGCTTCGTAACATACAATAAAAAGTTTCTGGTTAACATCCTCAACAAACAGTATTATACTAAACAATGGGGAACTTCACGGTGTTACTTCGTGGGATAATCAAACATTTACGTATTACTTAATCATTAGGTGCTGTCGTATTTAATGGAGTTTCTGGGAGATATAACAGTAGGATTTCCGGGTGAATATAAATTAATTTTTAATTTGAAGTTTTTTCTTTAATTTATAATTTCTAACAAAAGATAAATACTTCTTTATCTCTTAGTTGAAACGGTTGAGTTGTCTGGGGAAGATAACTACTTATTGATCTCAAATTTCTGCTTGAAACGGTTTAGTTTTTGAGTAAAGCTAAGCAATTTTTAGGTTAAAGTTTCCCTTTTGAACTTCTAGCTGAAGATGCAGATACGATTCCAATTTTTAATGGGAATTTTATGTGAAATACATCAGGTTATAATCATCAGTGAAAAAATATTTAAATATCATTGTTATAAATAGTTAGATATAAATAATGTATGTAATACATATAAAACTAATATGCATTTTGATTTGTAATCAAACAACTTTTCTTGTCCATAGACATGTTGATGCTCCCTGACCTATCAGGAATTAAATTATTAGCGTTTTTTTATTATAATAGTTTATTTGTCATTTTAAGAGATTCAAAGAAACGTGACGTAAACAAACATATAACAAGGTTACTAAACTTCTATGGTCTTGCCTAAAGTACAACTCAGGTTCAGCGCTTCTTAACTCCGTCGTTTGGTTGTTGCTAGGTTACATGTATATGAAATATTGACAATTAACATAAAAACCGTGACCAGCCAATGCTCTGTTACGCACAGGAAGAAGAAGATCCATGCACGTAATACATACCATCACGTGAAGGCTGAGCCCACAACCTGTCTATCAAGATGACGAATATATTTCGAGAAAATAAAACTCGAGCAATAGGTTGACGCTCGAAATAACGAGACCTAGAAATGGAGGATGAGGTGTGACATTACACTTATAAAAACGTAAACAATTTAAAAAATTTTCGTTTCCTGAGAAGTGAAACCTCGTTATACGTGTTAACCATCTCTATAAGGGCTCAGTCATTTTGATCAGCCTTGCACCACCTGGTAACTACCATGAAACTACGTATGCTATAACTTTTAATGTTATAAGTGTATCGTCGCAAAACTTGGCAAGATTTTAGCAAATATTACAAGTCTTTTGTACAAAAAAAATCAAATTTTTTAATTAAGTATTTTCACTAAAGATTTTTCTGTGAATTTATGGAGTTACAGTCTGACTCAGACTCTGACTAGTTTGATTGAGTTCGAGGCGATTTTCATGTTTAAATTAAAAATACTTGTTACATCTTACAGTTTTGAAATTTCACTTGCAAAGCTTCTAGAACCTCCTAACCGAATATCAGAATATTCAGTAAAACTTTATATTTTATCTGCTATTTTCTTTAAGATGTTAATGAAGGCACACGCGCTATATCTTGCGCTAAACCATCCTTGAGTTGTTCAACCCAAAAGTGTTTACATATAGGGGTGTCCGAAAAGTCTGGAACCACAGATGATTTGCATCTTTTCTTAATTTTAGATACGTGACTAATTATCGTACTGTCAGAACACGAGAAGGTCGAATTAATTCTGTTATTAATCCAAACTTGTTTCGAATTACAAGAACAGCTCGTGGAACACATTCTGTAAAATACTTTAAAGTGCCTGTGGTTCCTGACGTTTCGGTCACACTGTACATGGGGTTCTAAATTGAGATGTTACGCATCAGTGACATGAATTCTAGAATACAGCAACAACATTGGTCCGGGCGTGGAACAACCACGTATTACACTGTTGAGTATAACTTAACATCCCAATAACCACTTGACAAGTGTGCATCGACTCACATTTACAAGACATTTCTGGTGAAATAATTTTGCACATTGTATCCCGAAATGCCATTCCTTCATGAAAGGAATTTTGTAACAGAGAATTAACTGGATAATGCGTAACAAAGTTTGGTTTAGGTCGAACACCTTGCAATGCTTTCCTGTACACGTGCAGTGGTATCTCAAATATCACGTGAGACTCTGGTTACTGTGACACACAGACAGTAATTTAATGCATAGGATTAACTTGTTTTTCAAACCTCACATGAGGATTTCGGTTACTCTGACATATAGAGAGGGATTTAGTGCATAGGATTATCTTGTTATTCAAACCTCACATGGGGGTTTTCGGTTATTATGATACAGACAGTGATTTAGTGCATAGGATTAACTTGTTAAAATGTTACACGAGGATTTCGGTTAGTATAACACCCAAACAGTTATTTAGTGCATAGGATTAACTTGTTATTCAAACCTCACATGGGGTTTTCGGTTACTATAACACACAGACAGTGATTTAGTGCATATAATGAACTTGTTAAAATGTTACACGAGGATTTCGGTTACTATAACACACAAGCAGTTATTTAGTGGATAGGATTAACTTGTTCAAATTTCATATAAGAATTTCAGTTGCTACAACACATAGACAGAGATTTAGTGCATAAGATTAACTTGTTCAAGTTTTACATGGTGATTGCGGTTACTGTAATATATAGGTAGTGATTTAGTGTATAGGATTAAGTGGTTTGTTCAAAACTCTCATAAAACTATGGTTACTATAACATATATAAACACTCATTGATTTAGTACATAGAATTAACTAACTCCCCCCTCCCCATCTTCCCGGTGGCTCATCTGTAAGTTCGCGGGCTTATAATACTAAAAATCGGGTTTCGATACCCGTAGTGGGCAGATAGCAGAAAACTCATTGTGTAGCTTTGCGCTTAACAAGGAACAACAAAATAAATGACTGGGTTAGTCGAGCCTTACATGAGGATTGTGATTACTGTAATATGCACAAAGATATATTTGTGGTGATTTAAAACTAGGGACTAACTGAATGGATCAGCCATCACACGAGTCCATTGTTTAGCTCCATCTTTATCTTATGCTAAGAAACACATCCAGTACACGAGTAGCAATGGTCGTGTTTGTTTTTGAGAAAAGCCACAGTGAGCTATCTGCTGTGTTCACCCAGGGGAATCGAATCCCGGATTTTAGCATTGTAAGTCCGTAGACTTACCATGTCCGAACGGGGGACAATAGTTGTGTAATAGTAATTATCTAAGATCAATATTTTTTTAGAGATCTCGAATGATACGCAACTGTCGATTACTGAAAAATGAATCTGATTTAATGAGTGTTTTTTTTTTATCTCAGTCAATTCGGTGGTTTCAGTCTTTGGTTTCTTTACTATCATTAGATCCACGAACTAGCGAATGGGCACTTTTAGGATCACCTTTTCCGATACTCACAATAATCGCTTGCTACGTTTACTTCGTGAAAGTGCTTGGTCCTGCGTGGATGAAGAATAAGAAACCGTTCCAGATCGAAAAAATCATAATTTTGTACAATGTAGCTCAAGTAGTTCTTAGCGCTTTCTTTTTTTTCTACGTAAGTATGATTTTTTCTACGTAAGTATGATATTTCTTCTACATAAGTATAAAATTTCTTCTACGTAAGTATGATTTTTTCTACGTAAGTATGATATTTCTTCTATGTAAGTATGATTTTTTTCTACGTAAATATGATTTATTTCTACGTAAGTATGATATTTTTTCTACGTAAATATGATTTATTTCTACGTAAGTATGATATTTCTTCTACGTAAGTATGATATTTTTCTTCTACGTAAGTATGATATTTTTCTACGTAAATATGATTTATTTCTACGTAAGTATGATATTTTTCTACGTATGATATTTCTTCTACGTAAGTATGATATTTTTTCTACGTAAGTATGATTTTTTCTACGTATGATATGTCTTCTACGTAAAGTATGATATTTTCTACGTAAGTATGATTTTTTCTACGTAAATATGATTTATTTCTACGTAAGTATGATATTTTTTCTACGTAGGTATGATATTTCTTCTACGTGAATATGATTTTTTTCTACGTAAGTATAATTCTTTTTTCTAAGTAAATATGATCTTTTGTTTTGCAATTTGCATTTAATTATAATATAATTATCAAACTTAATTAATTAACTCAAAAAACAAAACTGTTTCTGTTAAATTCCTGCATTGAAATACAGTGTATAGAAATCATGCTCATATAATTGTTTATTTGTGTTTATAATGTCTGAACATCCTTCTTATATAACATCATTGGGTGACAGACGAACTTTATCTGTGGGGTTTTGAGTCCCTGTTACTTCATTATACAGTAACCTAAATTAATTTAGTTATGTGAATAATGTTATGACATTTCGCCGAATTCAATATTCAATATTCTACAGGGGACCAACTGTTTAATAATTGTATATATATGTGTTAAAGAGGTAAAGTTCAAAAGAGAATCTGTGACGTAAAAAAATAAAAGAAGTCTTTAACAGTTATGGACGATCCTTATGCTCGACTGTTGTTTTTGTTGTTGTTGTTTTTTTACCTTCTGTTTTGTTTGTGGTTTGAATCACGGTGTTAATACTTCTTTTAATTTTCATTTTCTTGTCAGACCTTGATGATCGTGTAACTTAATTAACTTAAAATATCATCAAATATCATTTCCATCATTTCAAAATTTTAATACAAACATAATTTAATATTTCTTTAATTATGAAATATTTTAAAGTGGTTTATTTTTATGTCAATTTTATCACTGAAAAACTTTTGAAAACGAAAAAAGTATTTAAAACGTTAAAACAGTTAAAATTACTTAGGTAACAATATAACAATTTTTTTCTCCTCTCTAAAAGCAATTACCTATTAACTGAAAACGTAAAAGTATTTAAAAGGTCAAAACAATTAAAATTATTTAGGTAACAATATAACAATTTTTTCTCCTCACTAAAAGCAGTTACCTATTAACTGAAAACGTAAAAGTATTTAAAAGGTCAAAACAATTAAAATTATTTAGGTAACAATATAACAATTTTTTTCTCCTCACTAAAAGCTGTTACCTATTAACTGAAAACGTAAACGTATTTAAAACGTCAAAACAATTAAAATTATTTAGGTAACTATATATATAAAAAAAAAATCTCCTCACTAAAAGCAGTAACCTATTAACTGAATTTGTTTACTAGGGCGGCAGTTTGTCTTATCTATCTGGGAAGTACAATTGGGTTTGTGAACCCATAAGCTACGCAACGGATCCAGAGACTATGACGGTGAGTTCAGGGAAGAAGGTTATTCAGAAAGTTCAACAGAATCCATAGAATAGAACTATTTGATTTAAAAAATAAACAAAGATAGGAAGGAAGAGTTTTATGTAAAAATATGAAAAATAAGCTGAAAGATCATTTGATTAAAATATTACAGAGTTTCATGTAAAAATATGAAAAATAAGTTGAAAGATCATTTGATTAAAATATTACAGAGTTTCATGTAAAAATATGAAAAATAGATTGAAAGATCATTTGATTAAAATATTACAGAGTTTCATGTAAAAATATGAAAAATAAGTTGAAAGATAATTTGATTAAAATATTACAGAGTTTCATTTGAACTGAATTAATAAATAGAACGTTTAAAAGAGTATTTAACCAAACTTTAGAAGGAGTTTCGTACAGAATTTAAATAAAACACTGCAAAAGGTTAATACGAAAAATAGATCATAAAAATATTTAAAAAGAGTATATTAGCAGCCTAAACGTACGACATAAACCAATTAGTAATATTGTAATAAAATAAAAAAAAACAACTATCTAATAATTAGACTTAGATGATCATATAAGCTACTAAACATAAAAACTGATATCTCATTGTTACAATCCGCACTTAACCGAAACAACATCGAGAATATCAGTGACACTTTAACAGATAACCCAGGTAGATAGTTTGTTATAGAACATTTTAATACAAAACACAATAGCACAAGTCTGGTAATATTTGTGCTTGAATAAATCTTCAAAACTGGTTTACCGAAAAAAACAACCACAAAACAGAGAATTATTAACTCATGAGCTGAAGAATCACTGTACTGGCAAACAAAATACATAATAATCATTAGCTATGACATTCAAATATAAGAAGCAATGGTTCGATGTTCTCTATTCTGTAATATATAAAAATAGATGTCAAATTACGTGGTCATTATCATATACGCGTGTATATTGTTTTATATAAGTAAAATTTTCTGTGTTCAAACACTGTAGACAAAATATATTTACGGTGAGGATTAAGATGATATGTTACACATAAGAAACTTAAATATATATAGATATAGACATGTTGTACATACAGAGACGGGAGATCTTTACAGTTTCAGAGAGTAAATATTAATATAAGTACACAGAACAGTAGAGAAATAACAGTCTGGATATAACTTGACTTTAATTTGTGTAACTAGATCCAAGTTATGTAAACTAATGACATTTTTTTTCTTCCCCCTAGTTAGTAAAACTTGGCTGGTGGTACCTGCTTCTCAAGATTGCAGAGTTTCTTGACACGGTGAGTACTACACATAAAAAAAATTACTGATTTAGCTACGATTATTGGTGAGCGATTTGTGGGAGTGTTGCTTGTTAATATAAATATCGACATCGAGTTTATTCGATTAGCACATGAAAACAGCACCCTGTTTATTTGTGTGTTCACTCACAGAGAAGCACCCAGAACAACAGTTCTCGTCGTTATTTTATCCCGAACCTACAGAGTTTACAAATAATCAAATAATATAAACATTCTCACAGAGAAGCACCAGAACAACAGTTCTCGTCATTATTTTATCCTGAATCTACAGAGTTTACAAATAATATAAAGTCTCACAAAGAAGCACCCAGAACAACAGTTCTCGTCATTATCTTATCCTGAATCTACAGAATTTATGAATAATATAAATATTCTCTTTCTTTTCAATGTTGCACCGTGCACTAAAAAATATGAAACGGTAAATAAATACATTACATTTGTGAACTTTCGGGTGACATTCTTTTTACGGTCATTTGTATTTCAAACGATATCAACGGGTCGGGTTAATTGATTTTATTGGATAAAAACTGTGAGTGGTTAGTTGTATGTTAGGCCACTCTGGGATATGTAGCTCTAGGAGAACCTTGAAGCTACGCAAGCAGAGAGACACGCCCTCAGATGTTTGCAGTATACCTCCCAGAATGCATATGAAACGGCTTGGTAAGCGTTGTTGTTTGTTAGAAACAACGTGACAATACTATCACAAGTGCACCGGAGCATTCAATTCTGGTAAAAAAACAAAAGAAAACTGTAAGTCAGCAATACAGTGTTTGATAATTTAAACATATTGTTACGACGGCGGAAGTCACGCGACGCTGGGAGCATGCGCGCTGGAGTTTCTAGAAGGATCATGAATTTTCCTGGCAATACTAGTTTGTTCCAGGCGCCCTCTTTTTTAGTATATAAGCCTGGCAAATAAAGCCAACGAAAAGATAGAATTGCATAGATAGGCAGATAGATTGAAGATAGAGATAACTGAGTCAAGCAAACAGTAGGCACAGTAAGTAAAGTGTGTGAATCACTGTGATTTATAGCGTGTGTTATAAAGATTGTTAAATTTAAAATGACTGTGGAAATTAAGTGTATTACAAAGTTTGTAACG